TTTTGCTTCAGTCTAATACATTTTTGAGTCTCCGGCCGACAAAAACCCCTGATGGTAAACACGAATGGAACAGAAACATGAACAAAGACGCAAACTGTTCGACTCGTCGACCCCAACGCCTCAAAGCCCAGATGTCGCAAGAAAAAACCCAATGCCCATCACCGGCACGCAAGCCAGCTCAGCCGAGCCCCAGAGAGAAACACAGACAACCCGGGAATCCCAACATCGCCCCGTCGTCACGCCCTCTGTGCCGATACCAGGACGAAGCCCAGCGCCGCGGCCCCGAAGACCAGGACCGTCGCCGCCAGCATCAGGGCGAGGAACGTGAGCCGGCGGCGGCGGCGGCGCAGCGCCACCACCGCGGCCGCCTCGCCGTCCCAGCTGCTCTGCCCGTCGAGGAGGCTCCCGTAGCCCCGCGCCGCCGCGGGCCTGGCCCCCGGGCGACGTGTGTATATGGCGTGGCGCAGCGGCCGGCGCCGCTTCTCGTGGACGGGGAGGATGCAGTCGGCGTCGTCGCCGCGGCATTGCCAGCGGCGGAGGACGCGGTGCAGGTACATGGCCACCGGCGGCGAGGGCGAGGCCGCGCCGGGAGGGTGCCGTCCGCGCTCGATCTCGCGGACGAACTTGGTCTTTGGCGGGAGCATGGTAGTAGCTGATGGTCGAGGTGGTGGTGGGGGTGGGGGCGGCGGCGGTGATGTGCTGGAATGGCCGAGCATGCCAGGGACGGCACGGGGCGTGTCTGGGTGGAAAATTTGTATGTTTGAGCAGGTCCTGGGATCGACCACGGCCGTCGACGAGGTTGGGCTGGCCAGGACTGATTTTTGAAGCTCGCGTCGGACATGGTGCCGCGGGCTTTGCCGGCTGGCGCTGCCCGCATTCGGCCGTGTCGCGTGGCGCAAGATATGATAGAGGGCGAGCCTAAGAAGGGGATGACCATGGGATTGCTGCAAGCACCGGTGGCCATATCAGGTCGGTGGGAGCCGAGCAGACAATGAGGCACTTTTCCACCCCGTCTAGCCTTGCGCCCTCTCTGCTCTGCTGGGCTTGCATGACCCAATGGCTCACCAAGTACGAATCCGCGTGGCCGAAGCCCATCCGCGATTGCTTTGTTGGCGAGTGGCGGTGACGACAGATGGCCGCCACGGGTGAGACGGGAACAAAGACACTGGAATGCTAGCGCCCGCCGCGGGTTTTCGCTGTGACCGAGCTCGTCCGGGCCGCGGTGCTCGCCGACGGCGAAGACACGGCGTCCGGGGATGGTTGACGAGTTTTGGCGGACGCTTTCGGCCACGAAAGTCGGGTGCCACACGGTTTCAGAAGATGGAAAGAGAACCCGTAGCATTCCGGAGCCTTCCGTGGTTGATTATTACCCAGACCGGTCGCGTCTGAACGACATTGTTCTACGAAACTGACAAAAGAAAGACCCGTCTTGCGTACGACGGAAAATGATCGAACGTGCGCCGAGACTCCATCCTCCCTGACTCCGGTGTGTGTGTGTGTGTTTGTGTGTGTACATGATGTCTGTAAGTGTGTGTGTGTGTGTGCATGCGTCACGGCCAAAGATGGCCCAACGCATCATGCATCAACCTCGTCCTCGTCCAAGAACCCCAATCCGCTGTCGAATCTTCGCTTCTTCCTCCCCGATGACCTCCTGGCCCGGCCGCCCGCAGACAGCCCCCGCTTCGTCCCGGTATCCCCGCCCGATGCCCCGTCGACCGGCCCCACCCCATCCGACCCGGCTTCCTCCGACCCGACCGCTTCCGGCCCGGCCTCCTCCGCGCCCGCCGGCCCCAGGAACTCGCGGCTCATCCCGACGACCCGTTCCAGCTCGCCGCGCATCCCGTCAATCACCGCCTTGGCCGCCTCCCGCTCGCGCACCATCTCGGCCTCCAACCCCCTCTTCTCGACGCGCAGGTCCTTGATGCCCTCGTGCGCCGCCCGCAGGCCCGCGTTCACCCGGTCGACCTCCTCCCGCAGCTCCCGCACCCTCGCGTCGCGCACCGCGAGCGCGAGCCCGCCGCGCCGCGTGGCCTCGGCCACGTCCCGCGCCCGGGCCTCCTCGGCCTCCTTCAGCCGCCGCCGCAGCGACCGGCCCTGCGCCAGCGCGTCGGCGAGCTTCCCCTCCAGCTTGGCGATGGCGTCCTCCTTGGCCCGCAGCACGCGCCGCCCGACCTCGACCTGGGCGTCGCGAGCCGCCACGGCGTCGCGGTGCTCGCCCTCCATGCGCCCGACCACGCCCTCGAGCTCCGCCACGTCCCGCGCGTACCCCGCCGCGGCGCCCTTGAGCCGCTCGACGCCGACCTCGAGCTCGGCGACGCGCTCCCCGCGCCCTTCGAGCGCCGCCCTCGCGCGCCGCAGCTCGTCGTCGAGGTCCCGCATCGCCGCCACCCGCGCCCCGAGCTGCTGCCGCAGCGAGAGCTCGAGCTCGTGGTACTCGTCGATGGACGCCTCGTCCTCGCGCGCGCGCCGCGCGAGGCCCCGCAGCCGCGCGAGCAGCAGGTCGAGCACCTCGCCGCCGTGCGACGACAGCGGCAGGGCGACCTCACCGGGCGTCAGGTACTCGAGCTCGAGGCGGGCGGTGCGCAGCGCGGCCGAGAGCGAGGCGATGACCTCGGACGCGTCGGCGCCGGGGAAGCCCAGCCCGCAGAGGGCCGCGTCGACGTCCCGCAGCGCGGCGGCGCGGTCCGAGGCCGAGCGGAGGAGGGCGGCGACCTGCGACTCGATCGTCGCCAGCGGGTCCGGCGAGGCCTCCAGCGGCGTGACGGACGAGAGTTGCCCGGACAGGCGGTCGGCGAGGGCCGAGTAGGACGCGAGCGTGGTCGTGAGCTTGGACATCTCCAGCCGCGCCGAGGCCACTTCTTCCTCCAGCCGCCGCTTGTCGGGGTCGGGGAAGCAGGCCTGCACGCCGACGTCGGCGGCCGGCGGGAGGGCGCCGCCCGCGCTCGTCCTCGTCCTCTTGCGCGAGGACGGCGTAGTCGCGGGGCCGGCGGCGGCGGCGGCGGCGGCGACGGGGCTAGTGAGCGGCGGCGTCAGGAACGACGAGCGCACGCGCGAGGGCGTGCTGCAGACCAGCTCGGCGGCGGTCGCGTCCCCAAAGGCCGTCTCGTCGCCGAACTGCGCGCGCTCGCCGCACACGGACTCGGCCTCGACCGTGTCCGCGTCCACGGAGAAGTCGTCTGCGAAGGGGCCCCGCGCCGCGAGCGTCCAGTCGAAGCAGCTCCGGTCCCGCGCGGCCGACCGCTCCGACAGCGCGGCGCGGAGGGTGTCGACCTCGCGCTCGAGGGCCCAGATGCGCTCCGTGTCGAGGACGACGGTGGCGTTCTGCAGCTCGTAGATCTCGGCGTCCTTCTGCCGCAGCTCCTGGCGCAGCCGCTCGACCTCGACCTGCGCGGCCTTTGCGCCGCGGCGCTTCTCGGCGGCGATGGCGTTCATCTCCTCGCTGAGGCCGTTGCGGCGAATGCGTCGCTGGACGCGGCCCGAGAGAACCTGGCGGAGGGGGAGGAAGTGGACCTCGCCGCTGGTTGGCAGGTCGGCCGTCGTGCTGACGCCGGCGCCGCTTCCGGAGGGGGTGCTGCTGCTGCTGCTGCTGTTGCCGCTGCCGCAGGCGGGTGTGGAATGGCGGCGGCGGCGGGAGGTGGACGGTGTGTTCCGGCCAAGGAGTGTGCGGCTCATCATCGGGGTCAGGCCGGTGGTGGAGGAGTGGCGGGTCGTTGTGCGCGGTGTCGAGACAGACGGCCCCGGGTCTGAGAAGCGGACTTTGCGCTTTGCCGCCTTGCGCGGGGTCTGGGATGTCGAGGGTTGTGATGCTGGTGCTGACGAAGATGTGGGATTCGCTCCAGGTAAGCTTCGACGCGTGCGCCGCAGCGCAATGGGCAGGTCGTCGGTGGTCATTGTGAGGAGGCTGGATGTCTCCAAACCAACAATGAGCCGACTAATGTGACAGAAGCAGGGAGATGTCCGGTGGAGGAAATGTCCGGGTGTGATGGCGGGTAGGAGGAAGAAATATGCCTGCTGCTGTGTTACGTGTATCTATCGGCGGAGAGTCAAGACTGACTGACGGAATACAATGACGATGTAAACAGATCAACGGCTCCCTCGACTCAGCGTTTGTCTCATTCGCCAATGCGTGTGATGTTTGCTCAAGCCACGTTTCTCTCTCCCCCATACTGTCCGTCTCGCCTTGTGTCCCCCCCTTCCCCCCCCCTCAGGTACCCCATGTTGTTGATATAGACTCTTGTTTACACATTGCCTATCGCGGACTAGCTCCTCGAGTTTTCTCCCCTGCCGGGACTCCGTTTCGGCTCCGCCCGCGCCGGGATCCGTCGACGCGCGTCGACCAATCGTTTCCATCCTCGCCGCGGTCGTTCCAAACAAACCTCGACCGGGTCCGCGGCCGTCCTGGCGCGTTTTTTTGCTGTCCACGGTCGTGTCACCATGGAAGAATCAGTACAAATACACACACAATCGCGGGTAATACGCCTCTTCGCGGTCCGAGCCCCCCCTCCCCCCTGACTTCAGATCGCGAGATGGCGGTTCTGGACGCGCTCATTGGTTGCGCAGATCGACACAACGCCTCGAGAGTTTGCGCCGAGTCCATGGCAACCCGTCTTCAAGGGTGTTATGCTGGTCAAGGCCCGGCAACAATGAGTCTTGTCTCTCTGTCTTTGGTCATGGACACTCGTGAACCCTGCGCGCACCCCCTTGCTCAAGAATGCCCGTCTAGGCTCGAGACGCACATTGTTGTTATCTCGATTCGTGTCCGGCTGCAATGCAAATACATGCACGTGTCACAGGTCTCCCATCACAACCCTGTCGGCGTCATCGCCGTTGACCATTGGATGAAACCCTGCATCGTGGCCCGCCTCTGCACCTCCGCATCCCTGCCCGTCTCGCTTCTGCGCGGCCCTCCCTCCCCCACCACACATCCCACCTCACACCGCCAAATATTCCTCGCCGTGAAGGATAATTCCTCATTCCAGACGATCGTGCAACAATTAAATGGTCTGGTGGTGTAGTTGGTTATCACGTCAGTCTAACAGCTCGAGGCCGTCTCATCTCACGATGTCCTCACTGCACACTGAAGGTCTCCGGTTCAAGTCCGGGCTAGATCATCCACTTGGGCGATTGGTTTAGTGGTATAATGACCGCTTAGCATGCGGTAGGTCCAGGGTTCGATTCCCTGATCGTCCATCTTTTTGCCCACGCGCATGGCTGCAGCTGTGTGTCTGTCCGTCTGCGTGTCCTTGTTATATGCAGCGACCAGTCCGTTGCGTGGGTGCATGGAATTGGAGGATAGATGATGCCGAAAAGTCTCAACGGAAAGGATTAGTTGTCGTTAGACTTGTTGCTGAGCATTCTATGCGTTCATTATATTATGTATTAACCACATTCTGCCGCCTATTACTCTCAAGATGCAAGTCCGGTCCTCTCTCTCTCTCCGGGAATGCACGTATACACAGCCTGGCCAAAACCACTCGTCAACCATGGCATCATGACATGGATAAAGCGAGGCTATCATCGCTCTCCGTCCGCCGGCACTGGTTCTGCGCGATCCACTCCGCCACCATGCCGCGGTAGTCCGGCGGCGCGTAGCTCTCAAACAGCTCCGCCCATACCCCGGGCTTGCGCCGCGTCTCCACGCCGACGTCCCCGAGGAGCATGTCCCAGTACGGCAGCTGGTCGAACACCAGGTCCGGGTAGCACCGCCCGTGCCCGTACGGCGCCCGGTGCTGCGCCCAGCGCTGCAGCATCGCCGCCTCGTCAAACACCCGCCCGGCCCGGCGGTCCACGTCGAGCGCCGGGACGCGGCCCTCAAAGTACGCCATTGCCCACAGGCACTGCACCTCGAGCCGCATGATGTTGGCGAGGCTGCTGAACGCCCCGATGAAGACGATCGACCGGTCGTCCCGCGCCGCGAGCCCCGGCGGCGCGATGCCCCGGTACAGCCGCCACGGCGTGTAGGGCACCTCAGCCGACGCCCCCGGGTGGAACGGCCGCGGCTTGGACGACGACGGGTCGAGGAACGGCCCGTCTAGCAGCCGCGGGAAGCGCGCCCCGATGGCGCCGTCGGCCCTCGCGTTGGCCTCGCCCCAGAGCGCCTGCTGCTTGGGGCCCAGCGACGTCGTCGGGATGCCGAGGTCCGAGTGCAGCGACTCGGGCTCGAAGTTGATGGTCGGCTTCGCCGAGAAGCCCGTCGACGCCACCAGCAGGTCGACGCTGAGCGTCGTGCCGTCGCCGAGGTGGACCGCATGGTCCGAGAGGTGGTCGATGTCCTCGCGGTAGATCTCCACCGTGCCGTTGCGGACGTACTCGAAGAAGTCGTCCTCGAAGCTAAGGATGCCCGAGGCGGTGCCGTACCTGCGCCATCTGCCGTGTCAGTAGCAGGTTCCCTCCGCATAATCGTCCCCGCACGATCAGGCATGAAAGGGCGAGGCTCACCAGAACTGGTTCTGCTCGGGCTGCAGCACCTTGGTCCTCTCGTGCGTATGGTACCCGCAGTCGTTGATGGTGTCGTGCCGGATCAGCCTCCAGAACGCCCGGCTGACGACCCTCCCCACGGCGCTCTCGTGCAGGAACCGCCGCACCCAGGCGAGCCCCGACAGGTCCGGGAACACGCACGGCGACATGAAGGCGCAGATGCGCCGCGTGACGAGCCGCTCGCGCCACACCCGGAACGGGCCGAGCTGCGTGAACGCCGGCGCGACCCACACCGGCCCTCGCCCGGACCGCCGGATCACCCACCGCACCTTGTGGCCCGTCGACGCCGCGAGGTGCACGGCGTCGTACGCCGACTTGCTCCCGCCCAGCACCGCCACCGTCGCGACCTCCGGGCGCGCGAACAGGTCCGCCCGCGGCCCCAGGTCCGACGAGTGCACGATCGGCGCCGCGAACGCCTCGGACCCGGGGATCGCGGGCACGTGGGGCACGGTGAGCACGCCGGTGGCGACGACGAGGCGCGCGCAGGTGATTGTCTTGGCCTCCTCGCCCTCGCCGCCGCCGCCGCTACCGGTCTCCTCGACGTCGATGCGCCACTCGCTCTCGTCCCCGGATCGCGTGACGCGCACGACCCTGGTGTCGAGCCGGATCTTGTCCCACACGCCAAAGTGCTTGGCGTACTCGACGAGGTACTCGTGCATCACCGCGCCGGGGACGTGCTGCTCCATCTCGAGGCCGAACCGCCGAAAGTCCATCGGGAAGTCGGAGAAGTCCATGGCCGTCACGAGGTTGTTGGTCTTGAGGTTCGGGTAGATCTGCTCCCGGGACCAGACGCCGCCGATCGACCCGCGGCCGTCGATGACGAGCAGATCGGCCGCCGGGTCGCGCTGGAGGAGGGTCTTGGCGGCGCAGAGGCCGCTGGGCCCGGCGCCGATGATGAGCGTCTCGACTGTGGGCGCCATGGCGAACGGGTTTCCGGATCTGGGTTCGCTGGAGGGGAGGGGGGGGGGGGGGAAGCTCGTTTTTCTTGGGTAGGGCACCACTGCTGACGAGGGGGAAGAGACAATAGTCGATCGCAACGGCCTGGAGGGAGAAAGACGCAGAGACATGGAGAGGTGCCCTTTGTTCTTAAACCCAAAAAGCAGTACGACACTGTACGAGCCGATACCAGAGATTGGCTGATACTCAAACATGAGCGGCATACCCCCGGCCGCCAGCAGAGTTTGACACATGCTGGAATCTCCCCCAAAGAGGGCAATGAGGGCCCCCTCATTTTCCACCCAAACCCAGATCGCCGAGTGGAATCTCAACAACCGACGCTGCCAGCCAACATTATGCGCTTGTCCAGGGAGGCGCCCCGCTGGCCCGCGAGGGCTGAGCACCCGGATTCGTCCCATCATCTGAGGCTTATGTCAGAAGGGGCATAGGTTTGGCGACAGAAAAAAGACGGACAAGCTGACTTGTGGCGGTCCTGCGTTGTGTTGTGACTGGGCGCCCAATCATCGGCCGCTGGCGATTGTACTGAAGCTTTCATGGCGACGCGCCACCAGCAGCTAGGCGATGCCGTGGTCCCCCCCCCCTCCCCAGCCAGCCCTAGCGGTGCATTCCGACGAAGAGGACATGCTCAGCAGGCGCAGGTGTCAGACAACGCATGCATGGGCTGAATTCCAGACCCTCGGGACATGGTGCCGGCCTAGCGTCCCACGGCTCTGGGTCCGCGGCTGAGGCCAGCGCAATGGAGGCGTGTCGTCCCCGAAGGAGTGAGCTTGGGACCTTGGGGGAGAACCGACTGCTTCCGCCTCCCCCCAATCCTTGGCGCGGCTCCGCCTGCTGATGGCGAGCAGCGTTGTCTCAGAATATGAGGAGAAGGACGGAGTTGGGGCGTATAAGCGCGGACGGTGGCGGAAAGTCGCACGTCCCTCTGGATCCCATCCGTGTCAGCCGGCAATCTGTGAACTGTCTATTAGATACGGAGGAATTAGTTACAACAAGGGAGACACGACGGCTCCAAGGGAGGTCAGCTGACGGTTATCTCGGCAGTGCCGACCACTCAGGTCTCCAATGTACTCCGCAGTAAGCGCTTCTCTTTTCTTTTAATGTACTCTACTCATCTGCGCGCCAAGGTCTGCTCCCACGTGGTCGGATCGTGGATGCATGCATAGCCAGCCACCGAGGGTCTGTTCTGGGGGCTGAAGAAGATACCTGAACGCCACACCACAGGCCCCCCAAGAGAGCCGTCTGGTTGCCGGCCGGCCGGCCGGGTAATAGCTTTGAGGAGGGTTTTCGCTCGATTTCTCCCAACGTATCAGGCATGTGGTTGTATTCGCTCGCCAGGAACGCGCCACGTGTTGCTCGCTTAGTGATATGTCGGGGGGAGGTCGTCAGAGTATGCCGTGTTCGAGACCGGGCGATTGGTTGTTGAACATCGTCCGTCAGCAAGCCCGGGCCATGTTGGCTTGCCGAAGTTGACTTTCGCCAGCGCCGCTCTGTCTCTTCCGCGGTATCATGCCCAAGTGTCGAGCCAGTTGTGGTTCGCCGTGCATCCATGCCCATGTCATCTGAAACACGTATTATGTAGTCTGGGCTTCTTGTGCACCAATAGTTAATCATGTCTTGCTTATCCGACGTCTCGTGCTCTCTCTTCCCGTTTAGGCTCTTCTTGCAAACCGGGATTGCACAAACCGTCGGACAGCGCCATGGTCTTCGCCAATCATATTGGCAACATTAACGAAGTCGGGTTTCTTTCCGATGTGTCTTTGACGCCGGTAAGACTATCCAACATGTTGCGGTAAAGTGTCGCTCTCGGGATGCCCGTCTTGGAGCATACAATGTTGATCACCCGTCCGCAGGCAATGATAATCACGTGCGCGGGGTTCTGGCAACGGTCACCCAGTCCAATATGTGCTGTAGCTTTATCGTGACGGAGCACGTGGATGTTTAAGAGCTCCAAGGGATGTACAAACCCCGACATCTAAGAATAAATGTGGTTTGAACAGCTCAGCATATGTGACAGACACAATTAGAGCCCTTTGGTTAGCTAGCTAAGTAGTGTGTAGTAAACCCTCTAGTCCTTTATGGTAGGATTTTATGTTAACCTGATACTACAGTAGTGTTGATGCAACGAATCTTGCTTGTGTATAGGACGAAGCACTGGATCTTGCAGGCAAATCAATCGTTGCTCTGCTTCGGACTGGGGCTGGGGTCAGGGTTATGCTAGATGAAGTGGAATTATACGAGTCCTTTGACCTAGGGCGGCTGAACTGTCATTCATTCCAGAGCTATGACTCGAAGCACAGTAAACATGGTCAAAAATTGTACGAACAAGCGAAAAATGTTGCAAAAAAGGTAGAGAAAGGCTTCCGATTCGCCCGTACCCGTTGGGAACCTGAGCTGTTAAAGTTTTGAGATTGGCGCGGTCAACGATGCCGCGCCAAACACCCCGCCGCGATCCGGACCCGGCGCCAAACGAAGATTACTTCACGTAGCAAGGCCTTTTCAGCTCATCTGCGGATGATAACCACGTCCTCCCCGTTTAAAGGCTTCGAGATGAGCCGGCCGGTTTCCCTACCAATACCTTCACCCTAAACCCCTCACAGAAAATGGATCAACGGTCGTCAACGGTTCGTTACTCTTTGATCTCAGACAAAAGTGAAGATGGCGAAGGTGATCCCATGTT